TCTCAAAAAAAAAAAAAAAAAAAGGTATAAATGTATTCAGTTTCAAACTATATGGCGTTTACACTCATTTCTCTGAATATCCATAGTCTCTTCTTGAGTATACAATGTGCTTTCTATCTTTGCCTAATAAACTCTACTTGTGTTTCTTTTTGGTGCACCCTGAAAACTTTGTGACAGGAGTCAGTGAGCCTGCTATCATGGTGGGGGTTAAGTTTGGGAAACTCTCAGACCTGGCCTGGTGACATTTTCTCTTGGTAAGCCAGCCACGAGTTAAAAGAATTGAGAGGATGATTTTGCTAAGACCACCAAAAGACTTCATTCATTTTTCTTTCCAACTTTTCTCAACTAATTCCTTGCCCTCTGAAACATAGTGTATCTTTTTTTTCTCCTCATGTCTCTCTTCCTCTCCCTGCCTTCAAACTTCTGCAGTCTTGAGTTCTTTCCTTTTCCACTAGTTAGAGTCTCTAACTGGAAAATGAGTGCTTGTACATAAAAGCACTGAAGGCAAGAAGCCCTTGCTCCCTTTGACCAGAAATGGGAAGAGGTGTCAGAAGGAGATCTCCAGGACATGTAGCAGCCTTACTCTTTTAGGTTAGCACCACTCTCTGTCTGTCTTAGTTACTTTTCTCATTGCTGAGACAAAATAACTTCCAAAGTTAAAAGAGAAAAGGTTTATTCTGGCTCACAGTTTTTAGAGGTTTCAGTCCACAGTTACCTGGTTCCAAGGCAAGGTGGTATGGCAGAAGGACATCACAGAGGAGAAAGAGTCCATGGTAAAGCAGGCAGGCAGAAGGCAGCAGAGCAGCTTCTCTCTGTCCTTTTATATTCCATCCAGGCCACTTGCCTTTTGGGTATTGCTACCCACACCCAAGGTAAGGCACCGTTAAGTCAGTGTCACATACCCTAATCCAGCCACATTTGGAACCCTCTACCCTATGACTACATGAGACTTGAAGGGACATCTAGATACAAGAGATAACAATGACCTTGGGTTAGATGGGACTTTAAATATCCTGCTTGTCCAGGAAGACACAAAATAAAGATAAAGCCACCATCCAGTGTCTTGAGCAAAGTTTCTCATGCAGCTGACATGGGAAACTCAACCCTGAGATAGTGGAGAACCTGGATTCTGGGTTGCAGCAATCTCAACAGCCTATACACTTGAAGGTCTGAGAGGTCTTCTAAACTGTGTTTTTGACCCTTCCCTACCCCAAAGGGCATAAGCTCTGTCCACCTGATGCCCTGGCTCCCCTCTTTGGGTGGCTGGGAACATGTCCTAAGCTATGCAGTTTAAAATGGTCATGCAGGTAATAAGTGATACTATACATGGGGACCTGATAAAGTCTGTGGATCTGAACTGAGCCCAGTGGTTTACTTTTTCACTCAGCAAGGATCTTGGCTCTGAATGCCTCCTTTATCTACCAGTGAAAGCAGAGTCAGGCCTTGAACTGGATACTACTATAACGTTGTAGACCCCAGAAAAGAACTACAGGCTTGAAATCACAAAGAAATTATTTTTTTCTTTGCTTTTGGTTATTTTTTTTTTGTTTGTTCATTTAAAAAATTGTGACTATGAACATTGTTTTAAATTTTTCTTCTTTCTTTCCCTCCTATTTTTTCATATTTCCTGAGGCTTGAATAATCTTCGTCCTCCAACCTTGCTTCTAAGCTCTTTTTCTTCTATTTCTCATTTTTTCCTCTTCTTTTAAATTTTCTTCCCTTCATTACTTATTTATTTATTGAGACAGGGTCTTGCTATGCAGTCCAGTCAGGCCTTGTTCTATGTAGCCCAGGGTGGCCTTGAACTTATGGTAACCCTTCTCTCTTTTTATTCTCTGTATACTTTCTTTTTTTCCTCCTTTTTTCTTATATTATTTCTTGCCAGTTTTTTTATCCTACTTTTACCAAATTCTATAGACATCCTTCTACTTCCCAACAAGATCCTATTTCTTCTTCTTCTATCATTGTTTAAAGTTTCAAAGTTTTCCTTTTACCTCTCAATTATAAACGCTAAATCTTTAATAGTATAACCACAAAGCTTTGTTAATCTTTTGATAGTTAACTCTGTAAAATTACTGTTGAATTTTTTCCTACCATTAGCAGAGAGATGATTGTTACATTTAGTACATATCAGCTGTAAGTCAATACCTGAGTTGCCTTAATATTTACCTTATAATTGATGGTTTCTTCTCTTGGGTTAAAGGTAGTACACAACTGGTTCTTATGGTGTGTTAGTATCTAACTTGTCTTAGGCAAAACTTCTGTAGCTGTGTCACTTGATATTAACAGGGTCACATAATTATTGCAATTATTCTGTAAGCCAACACTCAGATTACCTTTGTGACATTCACATTATTATAGTGCATTCCCAGAGACCTTGGTTGCTGGACTAAGTACACTTATACTCCTCTCCCAAAATAACCAAGGTTGTCAAATATTAGGGCTCTGGTAAAGGATTACAATTAACTACACCCAAAGTGTATAACTGAAAAGCAATGAAAGATCTCTACGCTAGCAACAAAGTCTTCAGACAATAAAAATCAATGAACCTCAGCACAAAACAAACAAACAAACAAACAAGCAAGCAAAACAACAGAAATGCAGCAAGAAAAGGCAATAAAATGCCTCCCCAAACCCCCACTTCTCCCAAAGCCAATCCAGGGGACACCAAGGGCAAAGTTGTACAGGCCACACACCTGAATTACTTGAAAGCATAGCAGATGAGGTTAGAAAACAGGTCAAAGAGATATTCAGTGAGATTAGAGAAGATATAACTA